GCCTTTAAATGTCCTCATTCTTGACTCCATGTTACCGCTTTAAGCAAGAAAACTTTTACCCAGATAAGTCCATGCATTAAATATGTATGTCCGGCCCCACTTTAATCAAACATTCATAGTTTTAACTTTAAATTAAGCTGCTGGCAACTTTTACTTGTGCTTCTAAGTGGTTGAGCCCATTTAAACGCTTGGCATTGAAGAAGCTGGAGAGGGGCGTCATAACAATAAGTGCCCGAACCAAGGGTCACTCCGTTGCCTAGATTGGATGTCTTGCTGGCAATTTGCTGGCCATGCAGAGGAATGCCGAATGGGAGGGGAATGGATGAGGTGCGTGTTAATTTGCCAAGTTTGGCTTGGAGGACGAGCAGCAGAAAGGAGCAGTTGATGGGGCAGCTGGCGTTCATAATTGGATGATGTTTTTGAAGCTGTGATTCCTTAAGGTTAGCCAAGGTGTGGCAAGAAGCTGGATGGGGGGACGAAAGCATAAGTTGTAGACAAGGATTTTTGGTTGCCACAGTGCTTGTTATTCCGAAAAGTTTTAAACTAATATGTTAACTTAATTACTCTTGATATGTGCCAGGCTGTCAAATGCAGTGCTTGGCTCTCCGGGCACGTAACAAATTTGAAAGAAACCAAAAGATTACCAAAGTACCTCAAAGTTGAAAATGATTAAAGCTTCCATGATAAGTAGTAGAAAGAAGTGTTATCTATGATATATAACCTTTTCTACTCGATAAACAGCATTTAATTTTTTTTGAAATGCATATTTTCAAATTCCAAAAATAAAGTTGCAATAACTTTATATTTATTGTTTGGAAGCAGCTTATTTACTGCACCATTACTCTCTTTGAAAAATAGTTTTATTACCAGAATAAAGCATTTTTGTATTTACAATTTCGAACCTATTCGGTTGGCACGCATTGTATTTGTGTTCTCGGTACTAGGGAAGAAGACACTCTCTCTCGACTACTGAGTGCTTGCTTTTTTCGTGTAAAACTCCACACACTACTCTGGACAATTCTGCCTTTTCAGCAAGCGGCTCCAAAAAAAAAAAACGGAGTCACGATTAATGGCCCGTATGTGGACTATGTATATAAAAAAGATTAATGGCAACACAAAGCGTTAATGAAGTTTTTTCCACATGGAAATGTATATAATGTAACATTCATGTGAGTTTCCGTGGCAACAAGCTATTATTTGCCATTCAACAAAAAAACTAATCCAAATAACAAGCACAATTAATGCCAATTTCTGCTTTAATAAGTGCAATTATTTATCATCAATGAGAGTTTTTTAAATATTGAATTCTAAATATTTATTTTATAGAATATTAAACATTTGAAGTCAAATATTATTTTTTATGTTTCATAATAAGTATGAATTAATTATATATGCATACAATAATACCACAAAAAAAAGACATAATTAATAGTGGTTTTTAGATAATCAATAAAATCATTTAAATTGTGAATGGCAGTTTATTTGAGTTATAAAATTATTGAGGATGGTAAAACAGTAAAGTTTAAGATACATATTATAGTGGAATTATATTATTATATTTTATGAAAATCTAATAACATACACGTTCAAGTGTATGTAAAATAAAAATATAATATATTGCACTTAAGAGTATAGAAATTATGAAACAATGCTACTAATGAACTACTAAACCTTTCTACTACTTTTTCAAAGCTCAAATTGTCGCAGCCCGTATAATTTCATAGTACATAAGTATTTTTATGGCATTTTTTATTTGAATATACTTCAGAAACTTAAAAAGGGAATTATGTTACATACGAATGTTAAGTTAATAGAATATATTTATACTTGTAGTTTTTGCAGTCATTATATTCCTATCAAACAAATTTCATGCAATTGACAATGGAGATTATTTTTTGTGAAGGGTGCTTTAATTTAATTTACACGGAAAGTCCAAGTCTTCACTAGGGGAAATGTTAGAGATATTTTAACTGGCGAAGTGGCCCTAGTACTTATATTTAATAAAGCTTGCCACGCTTTCTCCTTTTTCTTGATTTTTTAAATTTGAGGAAACACCCTTTAATTAACAAGTATTTCGATATAAAATGCAAGCCTGCGAAACCAGATCATTATATTTATGGAGCAGGAGGAGTAATACATGCATAATTTCTGCCCCACTTAACATGAGAATGAACGCGAATGATTGCCAATCAGTGCAGAAATATGCACAAATTTTCCAACGGATCATGAACTTCATAAATTTGAGTATTATGTTGATGCTGTTGAATGTGTCAAAAGCATTTGGCACTAATTCTCGCTTATCGTTATCAATAGTTTGACTCCGTGGCAAGCTCGCTGTGTGCCATGGCATGTGGCAAGGGGCATGTGGCAAGGAGCATTGGGTGTGCATGCAAATCACATCCACCTGCTGTGCCACACACTAAATGCAGTGCCAGAGAGTGCCATCAGCCACTAACTGCAAACAGACGATAAATCATCAACTGCTTAAATGCATTGCTCGGCACTCGCCGGCCACCCGCCATCCGCCATCATTTGCGCGCTCCGCCACTTGCAGCTCGTCTAGCGCCTTCAGCAGCTCCAGCCAGCGGCTGCCACAGATCCGCTGCTCCATACCTGTTTTAGGGGCAGACACGTTTGTTCGCTCGCTTTAAAGCATTTGACTGCACGACATATTTTCAAGTGTGGCAGCGACAGAGAGAGAGAGAGAGAGAGAGGACCACAAATCAAAAGCACAACAGCAACAAACAGAATGATGATGCCACGTGCTGCCGCTGGTCCTCAAACTGCACTCAGACAAATGTTGGGGAGTTCCTATTTGTTAAGAGCTTTATTAACTAATAGCTTCTTCGTTATTACTGAATTCAACTGATAGTCTGATGATGGCAAATGATTTGCATACAAATGTGCATTCTTTTAAATAATGCTTTGAGTAGTAAATTTTATTTGATTGATATTTGCATAAATTTTGTTTTTTGTTTTGTTTTAATTAATTTTATTGCTATTGATGAAGCAAGAAATTCTAAATGCCTACAATAATTGCCATAGCACCATGGTAACGAAACAAAACTAAACAAAGAATATAACAAATTATAGGAATTATTTAAAGAGGGGCTTAAAAAGTTGGTAGCGACATTAATAGCTTAATTCAAAAGACCCACTTGATGTCCTTTCTTATTACAAGTTTCCAGTACAAAAGAAAGTATTTTAAAATTAAAAATGTACATTGTATTATATGTATAAATATTTATTTTTAGAAAACAACCTTTGTCAGGTAATTGGAATGTGTTAAAGGCACACTCATTCACTAGTTTTTGATTTTATAGAAGGAAGATTTTTTGCGTGAGAGAGAATATTATGAACATCGTATGTTTATACAAGTATTTCATTATAACAATTCGTTTTTAGCTCTAATTTCGATAAAATATTATTATAAAAATAATATTGTAGGCGTTAATTAGATATTATTGTAATTTGATAAGATATCTCCTTCTTAGGCTTTTCTAGCTTATAAGATGCTTTTTATAATTTTTATATATTTCCTATGTCGTCAGTCAATGTTTCTTGACATAAACAAATAAATCAATAAATATTGTGAAGCCAAAGAATAACTGGTTAGTTCCTAAATAAAGAAATGAATATTTAAAATCCACAATTAAGTATTATTTAAAAAAATTAGAATAGATTTCTACAGTTCATTTCATAAAGTATATTTACATTTACTTTACATTTCTTTCAATTTTTTTTTTAAATATAAGTTACTTTATAGTTAGTTTTCATTTAAATTAAATGAGAGAAAAATCATTTAAATAGGCAAACATTTTCTTTTGTATAAAATGCCCTTTGCACCAGATTATTTTTTATAATTTATATTACTTTTGTATAATTTCAAAGACTTTTCAAGTCATTCTCTGTTCTACTTGTATTCCCAACTCGCGCAATTTTGAATTTTTTTTGCTAATATGTAAACGCATATGAATTGAGTTCCTGAAGATTCGTTAAAATCTTCGTCTCAACCATGCAGCTGATATGAATCACAAACAAACAGATATAGATATACTATACATTGTGAAACTAAATAAGTTCAAATAAGTTCAATTAGGCAAACATTTTTCCGAAACTGCGGCTCCCCTCTAATGAACACTCATGTCTCTATAGAAGACGTTTCTATTTAATTTTGAGCACAGCAGTCAAACCAAAACCTAATTTGCCTTAATAGGACTCTAATGTGCTTTTTCTGAGTGTGGTTGATTGCATTGGTGGCTGCCACACGTGTCGACGGCATCGTTGCAATGGCAACGACACCGAAGCGAGCGCGTCTGGAACGCTGCTGCTGTCTGTGTCTGCATGTGTGTGTGTGTGTTTGTGCATAGATCATAATCATTCATAATCAACGTGTACATAAATAACAAATTAAAAGCGCTTCACTAATTTTAAATATGCTCGAACATAATCAGCTTAGAGCGACACACGCAGACAATGGCGGAGGGGAGGAGGACGAGGCGATGATGGCCGCCAGTCAAGATAGCAACGAGCGCTGCGTATATGTCACTCTAAGTGTGTGTGTGTGTGTGTGTGTGTGTTTGATGTCTGGTTTGGGTTTAAGGTTTTCTGCTACTGCTACTGCTGCTGCTGCTTCTTCCTTTTTCGACTGGCTTTTACTTCATTTAAAACGCATTTATATGGGGCGACGAGCGTCGAGAAAAAGTCTGCCAGGCAGCCATTTGAGCTAAGCACAAAAAAGAAACTCATCAGCGCACACACACACACACCCAGATATATATATAAACATACATATAAATTTTTCTTTTTAGCTTTTCATGTTTGTGCTTATGTACTTTTCTTGGCGTCCTTTGTGCGTGTGTCCGTGTGCTTCACTTACTTGCCATACAATTTTCTTACAATTTTCGTGGCATTTTCTTTCTTGTAGTATTTTCTGTTGTTGTTGTTGTTGTGCTCATGTTTCATTTTCTTCCTGCCACTGCGGGCTTTTTACTCCACAGATTGTGCGGCCGGTGAACGCGTTTCTCATTGTTGATGTACAAAATGATTTTATAAGTGGTTCCTTGGATATAAGTAATTGCAGTGCACAGCAGCAAGGACACGAGGTGAGTGGAGTCAGCGTCGTCGGGATTGTGCGGCCAGCCAGAGCAGCTTAGGTGAGAGTGGTGGCGAGAGGGAGAGGGAGCTGGGCTACTGGGGTGGTTATAGGTGGACAGGTGGTATGGTAAGCGCTGGAAGGACATGAAACGTAACAAGAAATGAAAATGAAGGCAGCGAACGTAATGCACGTTAAGGAAACGAGCAATGCTTGGATGAGCCGCGTCTGAGCGCGTCTGGGCCAAAGTCATTGCCGCTGCCACTACCGCTACCGCTACGGCTACGGCTGTTGCCGCTGTTGATGAACGCAGAAGCACGCAGTATGGCTGCCTTTGTCTGCCTATGTATGTGTGTGTGTGTGTATATGTATGTTCGTGTGTATGCAGGCGGAAACGGATATGCTTTACTTAAGTCGCATCCGCCTTGCGACTCACGCCGGATGCCACCGTCAGCGGCTGCCTTGGCAGCTGCCACCAGCACCAGCAACAACACCACCTCCTACCGCCTATCGCCACCATCAACACCAGCTCCACCACCCAGATCTGACTTCTTTCTTCTTAGTCCACCACTTACTTCTCATTTTGACGCACTCGCACTTGAAAATGGAAATTTGTCAAAATTAATAACACGCACTTCCGTCGTCGTTTTACTGACTTGTCCATAACCGCGCGAGCGCTTCCGTTCCAGATACTGGAGCCCATCAACAAGCTGCTAGATACTGTCGACTTTGATGCAGTATTTTATTCGCTAGACTGGCATCCCAGCGATCATGTCTCCTTCATCGACAACGTCAAAATGCGTGCCATGGACGAGTCATCGCCGGTAAGCAAAATTTCCTTAATTATCTTTTTTTCTTCTTTCCACTTGGAATGATAGTCTTGGCACTGCATTTCAGAGCTTAAGAAATTAAATATACTTATTTAATAAAACAGCGGACATGTCTTCAACATGAATGCCTAACAGAAACTTTAAAATGTTGACAAACATTAATTTTCTCTTTTTTAAAAGAGATAATATGTCTTGGTTGCAGTATAAGGGAGAAGAAATTTAAGAACTTAAAATTTAAATTTAATTGAGATTATTTCACAGATGCTCATTATTATTTAATAGTTTTCTATTCAAAGTTTCCTTTAAATAAAAGTCTTGCTGTCAATTCCTTGATGTGCAATAAGTCCTTGTTTCAAGCAACTACATGGCGATAAAGAGTCTCGATTTTATAAACTTCTTTCGTGTTTCTGATTAAACACTTCAAATGTTTGAAAACTGTAAAGAATTGAATTTTATTTAAATGGCATAATGCATTAAAATAGCTTGTTTTAAGGGCCTTTTCTGTCTGGTACATCCTAATATATTAAGTGTTTGTTTAAAGATTGATTTTAGAAGAGTCTCGATTTTATAAACTTGTTTCGTGTTTCTGATTAAGCACTTCAAATGTTTGAAAACTGTAAACAATTGAATTTTATTTAAATGGCATAATGCATTAAGGGCCTTTTCTGTCTGGTACACCCTAATATGTTAAGTGTTTGTTTAAAGATTGATTTTAAACTTCCAAGTGTATTCAAACAAGCTGAAATTATTCGAATAACAATTATTAGAGGTACGAAACAATTTAGAACGACACAACTCTGTTTTTTGTCAGCTCGATGCAGACTCGGCACAGGTCTTCGATACTGTCATCTTTGCCGGGCCACCGCCCATGAAGCAACGTTTATGGCCGCGGCATTGCGTGCAGGACTCTTGGGGCGCTGAGCTGCATAAGGACCTTAAGGTGGTGGATCATGGCATTAAGGTGTATAAGGGCACCAATCCGGAGGTTGATTCATATTCAGTTTTCTGGGATAATAAAAAACTGTCGGATACCACGCTGAATGCACAACTGAAGATGAAAGGCGCCACAGATATTTATGTGTGTGGCTTGGCGTACGATGTGTGTGTGGGCGCCACGGCTGTGGATGCTCTGTCTGCTGGCTATCGGACCATTTTGATAGACGACTGTTGTCGCGGCACCGATTTCCATGACATCGAGCACACCAAGGAGAAGGTTGTGACCAGCGATGGTGTAATTGTGCACACCAATGAGGTGCGTGGCACTGTTGTGTGTATTTTTAAATAAGTTATCATTAATGTCTCGTCATTCTCAGGTCAAGGCCATGGCCGAGGGTCGGGATCGTCGCCCCGAGCTCGGTTATAAGCTGGCCATGGAGCTAAAGAGTCCCGACTCGGTGCTGTCGCAACGCAACGGTTTCAGACCCAGCTACTGAATCACACTTATTATTAGACCTCACAGACAACAACAAAAACGAAACACGAGCTGAGCATCACAAACCGCTTTGAAGAGAAAACGAAGCTTTGCAGTCACAACATGACATATGAAAAGAAAAGACAAATTTACACTTGAAATACATAGTACTCATATATACCTAACCGATGTGCCTCTATTGGTAAAGCAAATCGATTGAGTAGCCACTAGCTTTTGCTAAAGACAAGACAATTAGGTATCGTAGTTAATGTTCTATTTGATTAAATGGATTGAAGAGTTGAAGAGTTTTTAATGAGATATATGCTTCTAATAAAATAAGAATATCAATTCAATTGATCACAAGTGCAAAATATTGGAATTGCCCTAACTACTTTAATACACCCTATATGCGAAAAATAACACTTTCCAAGCGCTAATGTTGTTGAAATGTTGTTTTTGCACCCGTTCCAACCATTATACAGATCTATAATTGTATTTATAGACAAAGCAACAATCACGATTAACTTACAATTTACAATTAGTGCTTGAAATACTATATGCATATATACTCGTACAATTGTACTTAAATAATTGCTAATGAATGTCAATAAAGGAATGAAATGCAGAATTAAATGAAATCTTTTAAATGGGAAAGGGCTACAGAAATACCAGGTGCATTCTTAAATAACCAGGAGAAGGGCATATTCTGGCGCTATCTATATGTTACTGGTTGGCTAGGAGGGTACATCCCTTACCAATTTTCAGTAAAAATTTGATAACATTCGGAAGCGGAATTATCGCTCACAAAGGAACCCTGTATTTAGGTCATCGCTACACAAACGAGCATCAAACAAAGATCTAAAATTAAGTTTTATTTTAAATTTGGTCAATTTTTGACCGATCTAGGCTTATGGTCCTGATCTCGTGGCACTATATTTGACAAAGTCTTTATTGAAATAAATCGAAGTAGGGCAGCTTCAAAACAAAAATTATCATTTTGATCGAACATTAGGGTATCGCAAAATGTGTGGAAGGTTTGACTGATGACCAAAAATTGGTGAAAAATCAACACTTGAAAAATCAACACAAAAGAAGCCGAAAATACAAACATTTACTTGATAACATCGCACCAAAAAGAAACAGGCAGACAAGCCAAAAACCAAATAGTCTCATTAGGAGTAGTGCTAGAAAGTGGATTTTCTTTTAAAATTCCAAAAACAGAGATAAATATTGCGCAGAAGAAAGCTGAAGATTTTTGCATTGGCACTTGTGACTGATTTTCTGATCAAAAAATCGCATTTCTGATTTGGAACATTGCTACTTTTAAATTTTCTAAAAAAACAATTCATTCTCCGCTAAAAGAAGAGCCTTTTGTGGATGTAGAAGGGATCCAAAACACTTTTACCGACATCCTGAAGGCCATACCGGCCAACAAACTAAGCCAATTGGTCGACCTGTCACTGTTTGGAGTTGTTATACCCTGTGCCCAAAGGGTACAAGGGTATATTAGTTTTGTGCGAGTGCACATGGAACACACAGAAGGAGGCTTGGTAGACCCCACAAAGTATATATATTCTTGATCAGCATGACAAGCCGAGTCGTTATAGCCATGTCCGTCTGTCCGTCTGTCTGTCCGTCTGTCTGTCTGTATGAACGCAAGGATCTCCGAAAGTATAAGAGCTAGCATAACCAAACTTGGTATACAGATTCTCCTGAGACCGAGAAAGGACGAGTTTGTTCATTTTTTCTGATCCAACCCCCCACTCCCCCCTATTCAAGATTTTCTATAACTCCCGTTATTCTTGGAATTTTGAACTTAAATTTGGTAGTCACATTAGGTTAGTAATTATATATCCGTATACCAAGTTTCATTATGATAGAATGATCGAAAAGAAAGTTATAGCCATATAACCAGGCCCAATGCACACATACATACATATGTACAAGTACACAAACACGCATAGACACGATTCTGATGTAAATGTAAATGTATGTATGCATGCATGGAATATTTTATATTTAATTTAGTTAATTAATTAAATTAATTTAGTTAATTAATTAAATTAAATTAATTAATTAATTTAATTACTTTTTTGTGGGGTGGTACAGGGTATTTAAGAGTTGAGCCTGCTCGACTTTAGCATTCCTTTCTTGTTTTCCCTAATTCTTTGTCAATTATTCCACATAAATGTTCAAATATAATGAAACTCTACATAAATATTAAAATTTATGTTAGTATATCATTTATTTTGATACAAAATAATGCAATGCAGCTCGAACTTGCTCTAATTACGTTTATTTAAATGTATTTCCATAAATTGTAGAACAACTTTTAAAAAAATTCATTCAATTTCAGTCTCATCAATTAAGGTCTCGTTTCTTTTACTCAACACTTTATAGTTCTCTCTTATTTTTTGCTAATTCCATTAATATTTTAAAAAATTATTTAAACTATGATAGAATGATCGCTGTTATTTAAATTATGTCATGTATTCCTCACTGATGAAATTGTCGTCTAGGCAAAAATTTCTTTCTTTGATATTTTTTTACACCAAAATCTCTCCCATTCGATTTCATGCCTCACCTTTTTCTATTCAAGTCTAGAAAACGTTTTTCATTTTTCACTTCATTTTTTGTTTCCATATTTATTCCATAAATTGCCAATCTATATCTGCCCATTCGTATTTTTTCTCTTTTTTTTGGACTTCAAGGCGTAACTTCAAAACAAACCGAATAAATGTCCCCTGCCATTGTAAACATACACCCATATATACTTATATGGACAAAGGGAATGTGCGCAGAGACTGTTAAACTGTTTTTTACCGACTTGCCATGTAACGCCCGTTTTTTAGTGGACAGAACTGGACGCCGAAATAACAATCCATGCAACGTTTAAAGAAACTTTGTGCTTTATGCGTCTGTTTTGTTGCGGCAGGCCCAGAGTTTTTACATTTCTCTATTTTTTTTCCACTCCCTGCTGCTGCTGCTGCTGCTGCTCCTCCTCCTCCTCCTCGTCCTTCCCCTTCTTCTCATCCTTCTCCTTGCTTTTTTGCTAAGTGAGTAAAACAAACTTTGAATTTATTAACAGCAGGCAAAAGTATCTGCCACGCGGCATGGGCCAGCATGTGGGAGGTTGTGTTTAGGGTTGGCTTCATTGTTCTAAGCCAAAAGTGTAAACTGCTATTTTTCACATTTCAGCATATTTTTCCATTTGCCAAATGTTACTCGTACTGTGTGAATGTGTCTCTCGGTCTGTCCGTCTCTCCGTTGGTCCATACGAACGAGTATATGTGCGAGATTGTGGCGTTTATGGTAAGTAACATGTGCTGCAAGTTTTTGCCTCCACATGTTTGGATGTGTGTTCGAGTTCCTTGGCTTACTGGATAAACAAAGCTGCAGCTGAAGAGTAGTCGGCAGTGAGAAGAGCTTTACGGGTTTTACTTTTAGAATACTCGGTCCGGCGTCGCTGGGAATGAGCAAAGTTTCAAATCGTTTACCTTTTGCGGCTGCCTCTGCCGCCATAGACAATGAACTTTTGCTAACTGCCTCTTTTTAAATAGATTTTCGTACTTTGTTGGCTTAGCAATGAAACTGGCGGCTCCGCACACCGCAAGCTGTTGTCGTTGACGGCGACAGTGGCTACGACGCCGTCGCCGGTGGCTCTTGTGGTTCCACACTGCACAAAATACTATACTGCCTGGCATGAGTTTGGCCATAGCTTGCAGCGCTGTCAACGACAGTCGCAGTCGCAGTCGACTTGGACTGCCATCGTCAGCACGGCCGCCTCACATGACAATGCACAAAACGAACTGGACAGCATTTCAGAATACAGTACCCACTCGAAAAGAGCAATACTTTAGCAGAAAAATTTGTCCATTTAAATATAAACTAGAAAACAAATGCAATCTCAGCACTTAAAGACAACAAAATCTTAAAGTAGCGCTTCAAAACAATTTGTTAAATATAGTAATATTATTTGAGAATTGAGCAGAATCTAGGCTTCTAAAAATATTTTTAAAATTTTAAAATATCTAAAAACGGCATCATTTAAGTGTTGGTATGATAATCATGAAGGAGAGCTTTTTACGTATAAATAAATATTAAATTTATTATAAAAAAAATTAAATATAAATTACATTAATAATACTGCCAGTTTTCTCACTTCAGTCCTTGCTCAATAAATATTTCAATACGTTTAAAAGCTTGGTATGACCTAGGCATTTTTAATAAAATCTTTAAACCATTTGTACTGTTTTCTTCTTTTGAAAAGCGAAAAGGGAAAACCCATAGGAAAAAAATTAGATATTTAAATAATAATTATTTCATCTTCTTTTGAAAAGCGGAAAGGGAAAACCCATAGGAAAAAATTAGATATTTAAATAAAATATAAAGAAATTCAGAATGAAAAAATAACTTAAGTGCAGATGCTCAAGAAATAATAGTAAAGGAATATTTATTTCAAAAGTAAAATTCAAAGTAAAAAATTTAGTTTCAAAATAAAAGAACACCATTTTTGGACGTCCACACCCGGCAGAGTCCTACGACTGAATGCAGAAATGGAATAACATTTTCGACTACCTTGACTTTTACAAAAAGTGTTGATCAACATCGGTTTGTAAAAAGTGTTGACAGGTGATTGATAAATGAGTACTTTCTGGGAGAAAGGTAGCAACGATACTTTATCGATGCTTCCGTTTTACAACACTTGCTCCCCGCCTTTGCCGCTAACTTGTTGGCATTTGTTTAATATGTTAATCATAAATTTTCAAATGCATATGTTAGTATATTCCAAAATATGGTATGGTAAAAATTGGGTAAATTTTATGAACATGCTGACAATTGGTGTCATGATGACATTGCATTGCACGGCCAGAACTGTTATTATCACAAAATGAGTCAAAATTATATTTAATTTATAATGGAAATCTATTGATTTTTTTTTAGCGTACATCGATAATTCCCCAAAGTTATTGCATAGATGCTTTCACACAATTTTAGGTTATCTATAGTTGTGGAATATTACAAAACATATATAAACATTCTTCGTTAGCGAATACAGCTTAGCTCTCAGTTTGTTCATATCAAGGAGATTCAATAATTTTCAAAAACATTAAATATAACTTTTATAATGATCAGCATTCATTATCTTTGGTGAATTTTGAGTCATCCTGCATTATTTTTAATGTTGATAGATTCAAAATGTGTGTGGCTTTAAAATCTGTCCATTTATTTCAGACTTACCTTATGTTTCTCCATTATAGAGTTTCTATAAATAGAAAAGAAAACGTCACAACTTTAATAAATTTGTTGAAATAACTTCTATTTGTAACTTTCATTTTAAATGTATGTAAAAATGTGGCATTGAATGAAGAGAATATTTTATTGTTATTTGAATGATTTTAAAATATTTAAGCTTAGAAAATCATTTAAATAAGTTCCAGTTTCTGAAACTTGTTTCATTGACTCTTCACTGTACTGTTAAGAGAGATGAGTGCTGGGGACTGGATTGCTATGGACACAACCGAATATCGCAGATGAAAATTGCTTGCAAGTGGTTTTGCAATTTAGCGCCAGACACACACAAGCACAGAAAC